TCTGTTTGTCTTTCTGCCACCCCAACTCACACCCAGCCCAGGGCTGAGCTCACTGTGTCCCACCAGCCCTGCCATGAGAAGGTACATTGTGCTGAGTTCCCTCCTGTCGGGCAGTTATATGTCTGCAAGCATTTGGGAAGGTTATAAATGCAGAAGCAAAAATAGGCAGACAATAACCCCACAGTGCTAGAGCTACAGTACATGTTGTTTCAGAAAACTTAAAAATCCTTCTTCAAAACCATACTGGGACTACAGCCCAGTCATGGTTAAGCTGGCTCCGTTAAATATGGTTGTGTTTATTTTTAATATTAATTCTTCTATTAAACTTGCACTGACTGGTGTTTGGGAAGGCAGGAAAGTAAAAAAGGGAACATTGAGCCTTGGAGACAGGCAGGGAGCTCCACTGTTTTCCTTATCCTGATCAAAATAATCCTAAAAACAAGGAAAAGCTTGTCACCCCAGCATCCCACCCTTTCATTTGCAGTGGGATCCACAAACCCTCTGGCAGATCCAGTACAGCTAAGGAGAAAGCCCTATATTTTGTGTCTGATAATGAAGTAAAAGCACATTTATGGGATTAGCTGAGCTAATCTCTGGTAAATGCAGTTTTATTGAACCATGCTGGGAGTCAGAAAACAATCAACCATTAAAAAAAAAAAAAAAAAAAAAAGTGGAGGTGCAGGTATTCAGATCCAGACAGGGAGAGGCTGGGAGAACAGGCAATGATAAACACTAAAATCTAGCAATCAACCCAAAGCTGTGCCTGGAGGAGAATTTGTGGTAGATGGACAAAGCTGAGAGAAGGCTTCAGGGTCTCTTAGGCCCTGGTTGTGCATTCAGTGCTCAACTATGTGATTCTCATAGAAAAAGAAAATTGGATCAGAGGGATTCATTTTAGCTTGCACTGGACTTGCAGCCCACTGGAAATACGTTCAGGTGGGCTGCAGGTGCAAACAATGAGATGCTTCCCCAGATCTTCATGGCGTACTTCAGTGGGGACCACCAGCAGTGCTCAGTACCCCTGTGGCAGAACTGCAGCTAGTGAGCAGGAAGGCAGGTACCTGGCCCACAGACCAGGCACCAAGGATGGCCCTGGCTCCCTACAACACCCTGATCTCTGCTGCACCCCAACCTGTGCTCGCCCCTAAGGAAAGCTGCAGCAAGAGATGCTCCTTCCCCTGCAGCAAGGGATGCTCCTTCCCCTGAAGTGAAGCAAGGGTAACACTGTCCAGTGCAACCGTGGCTAGACCATGAACGCAAATCTCTACTGCAAGCACTGCTGGATGCATTTCAAACCCCAGACAGTGCTTTTGTTTCAAGCCTCCAGGAACCTATTCTCTTGCTTTAACATGACTTGACATGATCTTTCCCAGGTACATTGTCTGTCTGCTCCTCTCTCTTTCTGGTTCCTTGAGCACTGCCAAGCTGTCTGCCTAAATCCTCCGCTGCAGCAGGGGCTGGCCCAGCTGTTTGGAGAGGGCAGCGATGTACAGGGGCACATGGGGGCTATAGGAAGAAGACCTATGAGATGATGCTTTCTTCGCTTTAATTGCAAGTAGTGGGTCAGACCGTGCTCCCATCCTTCCCTTGTGTGTTTACACAGCACCTTGCAGAGGGATGCCGTGATTCACAGTTAGCTCCCCCCAAAATCTGGTCCCTACTTCAATGCAAAATAGAGTGATGAACAGCTGGATGAGATCCTACAATACTCTGATTTTGGCAAAGGGCTGCAGCATGCATGGTACAGGGCTGCACTGAACAATTCAAAGTGCATGGAGAGCTTGAGACAGATGTTGAAGCCAAATGCCTCTCCCAGTTCCCAGCTCCCATGCCCTTTGCCATGTCCCCTCTCAGCAGCAACAGCCCAGCAAGCCCAGGCTCAGTGTGCCAGATGGAGGGCCTCCAGGCAAGCAAGATGTAATGCACTAAGCAATCCCGCAGAAATCCCAGGCCCAGATCCTCCATCTGCTCTCGTAGCCCCCCAGCGCCTGTGGCCAGCCTCCATGGGGTTTCCTGCATGCTCGGAATCCCAGCATGACACCAATACTCCAGGTGGCAAGGGTAAATAGGGCTTAGGTGAGGAAATACAGCTGTTCCCAGCCAGTGCCAAGGCCATAACACAGGGCAAGGCTGCTCTCCCCTGGCAGTGGCTGTGTGTCGGCTGGGACACAGGTGACACAGCTGGATAGGGATGTCATAGCACCATGCTCTACATGTCACAGCACCATGCAAGCTACAGACCCCAAACCACACCTGCATGAGATGCCACTGAAGCCTGCACATTCATGCTCCATGTATACGTTTTCTAGTCCACTGCAGCAGGGCAGAGAAATCCCAGGCAAGCCAGGTCTGGCATCCTTCCAGCTTGCTAGGAGCCATCACGGAGGGAGGGCAATGGAGTTGTTGTGGATGCAGAGTGTGGCAGGATCCTTGATGCAAGCCCCAGTATGCTATCTTTAGAAGGAACACATGCTATGCTCAATTTCTTCTGCTCTATTTCCTCTGTGAAACCCTTCCCCGTGCACGCTCACAGGGACGCAGACAGAGGAGGGGGCTCTCTGTGTCCCACAGCCAGTGCTAACAAAAACAGTCAATGACCACCAAGCAGGCTGATGTATGAGCTACGATACCACAATGCATCTACTCCCACTGAGGACTTCCTCATTGCTGTATACAAGCCATGGGGACACACCACTCTGTTGGGGCATGGAGCAGAGCCACCCTCTGCACAGCTACTCTGTGGCCAGCAGCAGGTTGGTGTAAACTCCGGTGCAAAGATTACATAGGATCCATCCCCAAACTCATATCCAGCATACAGACACATCTATAGCCAAGGGGCTGGTGGCTTCCATCCCTTTATACACTCACAGATGTCAACCTTTTAGTAACAACCATACAAGCATGCTCTATGGAAGTCTATAGTGCCAGTAGGTCTTTGAATGAAAGAACCATCCAGGAAATCACATCATCTCATTTGCCTGGGTGTCATTACATAGGGTAAGCTTCTCCATCCTTGGAAGAGATGGATTTCAATGCCCTTGGCTGGGGAAAAGTCCTGGAGTCCTACCATAGGGTTTTCACTGCCAGACTGCTATAAATGGGACCAAAGCGTATTGCCTGTCTTGCAGGCTCTGCCAGAAAACTGCTGATGGTTTCTGTGGGATATGAGTGTGATCTCAGCCTTCCAGCTCACGGTCTTCCTGAGATTTAGTCATACAGTGACGCAGTTTGCAAACCCCAAAGAGGTCAATGCACTGGAGAAGCTCTGAGCTCAGAACAGCTTCTCCACATTCCCTGGATTTTAGAGAACACCAGGCTTTATGGAAATCTGCCTCCAAAACCAATGTCAGGAGTAAATGGCAAGTATTTTCACCACTCAGAAGGGGGTCAGAAGGAAATTAAACCCAAGTGTGAACACAAAGGAATGAAGAGACACACAGACCATCCCTATACACTCCCACCTCTTAAAGTGTTCTCAGTCTGCCCTCACCTTTGGGGGTTATGACCCAGCTAAACCATGTGAAGTAGAAAGAAGATGTTTGGAAAGGAGCTGGAGGCTGTTCTTCTGTGGTGGCAAACCCCATCAGAGGTGCCAATGGCCAAAGCAGGGCTCTGCCGGCCTTGTGCAGGTCGCACACGGCCACCCACTGGCCACAGACCCAAAACAAGACCATTTTCTCTATTGGGGAAAATAAATAAATAAATAAACTAAATAGAGAAACTGCTCATTTATTGCCTTCGGTGAATTTAAAGCAGGATCAATACCACACTGGTGCATGATTTATTAGGGGGTGACAAGGCTCTGACCCATCCTAACCTTGCTTGTTATGTGTGACAGTGACCCAAAGCAAGCATGCAGCCCCATGTTGTCTGGTGAGAGTTCTGGCAACTTCTGATCTGTTGCATCGGCAGAGGGACGTGATCACAGGAGCTCTAAGCAGAGCTTAAATTCCTCTTTTGCAAGATGTTGCTTGCTGCAAGGTGTCAGCTCCTGTTTATTTGCAGAGGTTAAGAGAGGGGGAAAGTGGGAATCCTGCAAAGGGATCCAAACTGCCCCAGATCTGGGGAGGGAGAAGAATCCATCCTCAGCCCTGGCAAAGGGGAAGTTTGCCTCCTGTCCTCCCTGAAGCATATAGAAGGAGTGCAAATGGCTCAGCAGTTTGTATTACAGCATCCAGAGCAGAAGTCTGACAGACGCTGTATTTCACTGACCCCAGGAGGGATGGGGAAGAACACAAGGCACCTTGCAGATATTTATTCCTCCTTTTTAAGAGGAACAGGAACAAAAAAGCCCCTGCAGTCTTCTACAGAAAGCTGCACAGCAGACCCGCCAGCCAGGCAAGCAATAAACACATTGTCAAGGAAGCAGGAGAACAGCCCTAATGACAGCCTCTAGTTTCTTCCTTTTTGTTTTGGAGCCAAAGGGAAACAGAAGAAGAAGATGCTCACCCTGTAGGCCACGGGTCCAACTCGAGGTGGTGGCATTAACACAAAGCAGCCTGGTGTGCCCCAAATCCCAAGCAGAAATGGTGCAGGTGTCTGTGGCCAGGCAGTCAGAACCACTGTGACAAGTATCCTCTGCCCTTGCTAGGGCCAGGACATTAGAAAGGCCACTTCGTTATTCCAAGATGTACAGCTATGCCTCCAGCCAACTGGGGCTGCCCTGACTTTTCTTGCAGCTTCCTCCACAAGCTCCAGAAGCACTGCCAGAACTCCAAAGGGATAAAAGAAAAGTCTGGAGGTAAGAGGAGAGGAGTCATTTCTCTAGGCTTTTCTGCTGAAAGTGTCTGAGGGAATTCTGGTTTCAGATCTCCTCCAGTACCAAGGAGGCAGCCAGCAGACCTGTTCTGGGGAACACACAATGACAGCTGAAACTTCTTGCAGAAAGCCACCTGGACCCACTCTGTTACTGGCTTTAATGTCAAGATCCTGCTCCATCTGCTGTACAGGCTGTGAACAGGATTTCAAACTTGTAATAACTGACTGAGTCCCAAACAGGATTGCAATTAAAGTTTACAATTTATTAAACGAATAGAGGCAAGCAAACAGCGCTGGGTGCGCTGGGACTCTCTGCTCCACTAAGACACACACAAGTTACATCAGGCGGCTGTTTTTTATGCTCCTAGGCTAATACATCTTCATCACCACTTTTGGAAAAGGCAGGGTTATTATAATTAGTTTCCCAGAACCCGAACCATCCTACGGATGCATGCGTATCAGTCTCTGGTGGTCCCTCTGGGGGTGCTCGTACTGAAGGCTCCTAGTCTTCCTCCCAGGCTTTGTCCTTTGGTCATTCTTCAGCTTCCCCCCTCTCCTTATTTAGTAGTCTCTGGGCCGGATGTCAGAAAGTTGTGTATTGTGTAATAGTCAGCAGTTATCTCAAAAAACTCCCCCCTATTCTCTTATCTCCCAGACCCAAGTCTCAAGGTTTACCCTTCAAACCGTCTATCAACACAAACTGCTAGACCATTCTTTTGCAAGATACAAGAACTATATATGCTAACCACTGTTTCTCTTGGACTTGTGGTTATACAAGGGTATGTAAGACAGAAGGTCACATTTCATCATGAGGCCCTAGCATTGTTCCATATTGACATGAATCAGATGAACATATTTCACAAAATTCATTTTCCATCTCTACAGTGGTAAAGAAACTCGGACAGCCTCACGGGGCATGAGCAGTGTTTGCAGACAGTGCAGCTGCTCCTTGGGAGCAGGATGGGCAGTGCTCACTCCAGGATACTCTGATCCTTTGTGCACCTGCAATAAAAACCAGAAGAATGATGGAGCCACAGAGGAAAATGTTAAACTCCTGAGAGAGGGAAGATCACAACCCAGGTCTGGGTTTTGGGATGACACAGCAATACCTGTGGTTCCTTCTGCCCAGGAATGCTCTTGAACATGGCTGAAATGAGGAGAAATTGAACTGGGGGAAGGGGGCTGTTTCATTAAACATTCATACAAAAAAAGCACTACTCTCCTTAATAAATTACAGAAGTGTATTCCTCCTCAATTAATATGCATCACTACTTACTTCTCTAAGGAAACCAAGCTCTATCCCAGGGACTGAACATTAATGCTTTCTGTCAGCAACCCATAGCAGCACTTTGAGATTATTTTTCAGTCTTTTTTTCCACTTCTCCTCACAAGGTGGTAGTTCTTAGCTTGCATTTTTTTCTGAACAGCACAAGCTAAAGACTCATAGGTACAATATTTAAGAAAGAGCATCATGCTAGGAATACAGAAGCAATTTTGCTGCACCAGGTAGTGCTACCCATCCCCGGTGGGATGGTTTTTGTTTTCAGAAAAGCCCAGCACGCTGCTGCCTGCAGCAGCTCTGTGCCCTGACACACATTTGGCAGCTCCGTCTCTCACCTCCCCAGATGCTGTATGGCACTGCCCAACTTCAGTCACTGCTGTTCACAGCTTATGCTAATGGGGCAGGCTGTGAACGTAAGCAGGGGGTGCAGACACACGAGCACTCGGCTGGCTCTGCTGTGCGGACAGCCCCCCTCAGGCAGCCAGCGCGGGATCTCGGTATCTCCTTCCACAGCACCAGTACGGCGCAGAGCCTTCATGCCCCGGAAATCAGAGCCGCTTCACATTCATTGATTTCTCATTAAGCTGGGCTTTCGCGTGCGCCATTGCTCCTGTACATAATTTACATATTTTATCCTTCTTTTTTTTTTTTTATATTTGTTATCTATTTAATGCCCCCCCTCCAATAAACCTGCGACCATAGAGACGCGGCCCCCCCCAGCGGTCCTCCAGCATCCCAGCGCCCCTTGCGCGCGCTCCCGCCCGCCCTCAGCGGCTTCCGGCGGTGGCGGCGGAGCGGGTGCGGCGAGGCGGCGGCAGCCATGGGGTACCGCGGGCAGGGCCAGAAGGTGCAGAAGGTGATGGTGCAGCCCATCGTATCCTTCCTGCGGCTGGGGGGTGGCGGGGAGGTGGGTGGGGGGCGGCTCGGACCTCAGGGGGCTCGGATCTGGGGCCCTGGGGGCTCGTCCCGGGCCTTGAGGCCTTGTCCCGGGGCCCTGAGGCCTCGTTGTGGGGTTTGGGGCCTTGTCCCGAGCCCGGAACTGTCGTCCCCGTGCTGAGCCCTTAACGCAGCGCCCCAGAACCTCATCTTCCGCTACCTGCAGAACGTGAGTACCGCGGGGAGGGGGCGGGGATGGGGATTTGGGGGGTGTGGGGGGAGTGGGGAGGGTCTGGGGATTCCCCTCGGTGAGTTCGGCTCCTGGCCGTGTCCCGGGACGGGTTTGTGGGGGATGGAGAGCTGTGCGGCATGCTGGTGGGCACGAGGAGCCCGGCGTTTCCCCCTCGTGTAGCCGGGCGTGCAGGGGTGTTCCCTTGTGACTGGAAACGTGTTCTTCACCAAACGTGTAGCATTCACCCGATGGTATAACGCTCAAACGTCGGATTGCTCATTGAAACTGCCCCTGAGAGTTGCTCCTTGGAGCGTTTGGGAGCTGTCGTGGCTGTGGCTAGCAGGTATTTCTGAACACATGAGAGAACAAAACTGCTCAGTGTTTGTGGCCCGACTTACTCTCCTCCTTGGTTCTGCAGAGGTCGAGGATCCAGGTGTGGCTCTATGAGCAGGTGAACATGCGGATAGAAGGCTGCATCATGGTGAGTATCCGCACGTCCCCACGTTACATCTTTCGTTTTCCCTCATTCACAATCCTGTTTTTTGGTCAAGAAAAGTTATCACAAGGAAAAAAAGAATTGTACTTCTCTAATAAGTAGTCTTCGTTGTCCGGCCAGGATCGGTAAAAATCCCTGCTTGCCGGTAACTAGAGCCCTTCATAGAGCAGCGGGGGGCGGGGGAAAGGCCTCCTGCCCGGCCCGGCTCCCCTCCGCTGCCCTGAGGGGGAGCAGGCCTCGTGTCCGGGCCCTGCGGGTCGGGTCAGGGTGCCCTGAGGGGAGGGGAAGGGGGGGGGGTGTTCCCCCCCCTCTCCCCCTGTATCAGCCCCTTCTGGGCCCTGTGAGACGCGGAGCTGCTGCCCGGGGTTAGGCCCAAGGTCCCCTGTCAGGCCCGGGGCTGCCCTTCCCCTCGCCCTGCCCTTCCCTCCCACTCCTGAGCCCTTCCTCGGGCCTTGCCGGGCCCTCTGTCCGGCTGTCTGTCCGTCCATCTGGCTGTCTGTCTGTCCATCCGACCCTCTGGCCATCTGTCCCACCACCCTGCCCCATCCTTGCCCTCTCCCTAAGGAAGCAAAGAGTCCCCGGGCTGTCTTCATGGGGGGGGGGAGAGGGGAGGTTCTGCTGAGAAAAAAATGAAAGATTTCCCCCTTAAGGGGCGCCTTGCGAGTTATTTCGAGTTCCAACCTTCTGCGTTCCTTCCGTAGCAGTGCCTCTAAGGGGGGTGCTGTAAGGCAGCCCTCATCTGGCGCGTTGCTCCTCCGTTCCCCCAAGGAACTGCCTTCAGGATCTGACTAACTCTGGATGCACCCGGTTGTTGCCTAAATTTCTCCTTTAGCTTGCTGAAAACAACCCGGTTGGGTGACCTTTTGCGTTTCTTGCTTAAAATTTGGATCGAGGAGGTCTGTGTTTCCTTACGCTGGTGTCCACGCTGAAGGGGCAGAAGGGTTCCGTGCTGTTGCTTGGGTCAGCCTTGTTGCCAGGTTGGGAATGTTTAGCCTCCCGGTGCTTCGGTGCTGTTGGGCTGCACTCAGAGTGTGAGCTCTGGGCGTTATTTCTCAACTACTGCGTTATTGGAGCGTACAGAGCCGAGATATTCTGCGGATAGGTGATTTAAGCCGCGTCAGAACCACCGCTGTGGCGTGTGCCAGCGTCGGACGCCCGTTCGACTGCTCGGGCGGAGCAGGTGAATTGAATTTGGTGCTGGGTGGCGAGGTGGTGTTGGGGGAAGAGCTAGGCTAAGGAGAGCTTCCTCTTGCTCTGCCCCTTCCCATCTCAAATGGCCGCTTCCTGGGGAGATGGGTTCGTTGGGAGGCTAACTACAACGTTACAGTGAGGATGAGGAATCCTCTTTAGTCCCGTAGGTATTTGCTGCCAGGCCGCAGCGTTGATTTCAGAAATTGTATTTAAAAAAGGAAAAAGAAAGGAAATCCGTATTCTTTAACATACTCTCTTTTCTCGGAGAGTAGATGTAGGAGCTTCAGCAGTGCCCTTCCTCCCGAAAGGCTTCCCAGTGTCTGCTCAGACACTGAGGAGGAAAATAGAGGAGAGCCACCCGATATAAATAAAGGCAAGAAGGGGTTATGGATTAAGGGAAAACCACTACTTCAAAAATTGGTGCTCTCTACAAACCGGTTAAGGGTTTGGGACCTGCAGGTGCTGCCTCCACCTGTGTGCGTTGCAGTCGTGCCTGTTGCCACTGAGCAAAACGGGGAGAGCTGCTTTGTCGAACGCGGCGTGTTAAAGCACGTGCCACTGCCTGGAAGAAAAGCACGGACTTCCCTCGTGTGGGACTTCTTCCCTAGCCATGTGTGGTTTACCTGATGGTTTCCCATAAGCTGTGAATGTTTAAAAGAAAAAAACCAACAAAACCCAAGACCAACGTTGAGAGTGGTGAGGCAGATCCTCACCTGGGGCCTCAGAATCAGCAGTGACATCACCATGCGAAGCATTGTGTGCGCTTCGGGTCGGGGCTGCTGCGAGCCTCGCAGCGGGGAGGGAGAGCGGATGCGGGGTGCCTCTGTGTCAGCCCTCTGCCCTGGTGGCTTCGTGAGCACTGAGAGTTTGACTCCTGTGTTGCCAGCTTTCGCTTCCGCACCTGCGGTGTGGCAGAGCCAGCGAGCTGCTTCCTCAGCTGGAGGAGGAAGAGGAGTGACCTCAACGTTGCCGAGGTAAAGCACAATTCTTGAAAAGATTTGGCAAAGATGTGGGTTGGAGCAGCGCGGCTGCTGCAGCTGCAGCAGATCCTGGAGCATTGGAGAAGACAGAGAGGGGTTTCTTGGTGAAAAGAATGCTGTTAAAAGTGTTTTCATGCCAGAAATGAGGATAAACGCCTCTGTTGTTTGACATCCTCTATTGACCTGGCACATTGGCATTACAGCGTACCTGGCACGCTGTTTGTATTAAAAAAACAGGTATTTTAGTCAGGGCAGGCCAGAAACCTGCCTTGGCACTTGCACATGGCAGCAATGCTTACAGACCCTGCATCCTGGCTGCCAGGCCAGGATCTAAATCCGACGGTGCTGTTGGTAAACTGAAGCTCAGGAAGCGCTTCTGGGTTTTTCTGTACTTCCATGTGAATTTTGACCCTGTGAAGATGGTGTCTTAAGCTATTTTCGGAACAACAAATAGGTTGAAAAGCAGTTTCAGTTTAACATCTGCATGCTTGGGTGTTATTAACAGAGCTTTGTATACTGAGCTGGTGCTTGGTAGGAGAAAAAACATAAACCTTACCTGGGAAACTTGGACCCCCTCAGCTACATGCTGCTATGAGGAAACTCAGATGTAAGAACACACTTAAATAACACATCAGCAGAGCTGTTGTGCTCCTGACCACCAAAGGCACCTTTTTCCAACACCGTCGTACTGGAAGTTGATGCAGCTGGTTCCATCCGTAACGTGGGACTGTAGAGTGCTGTAACAGAAATATTTTTTCACAGCTTTGGAGAAAGTGAAGCAGAGAAAACCACACATAACCACTGATAGCTGGACCCCAAACTGCCACAGACTGACAGTGATGCCCACTGGATATCTCCTGAGACCCTGCTGCCTTCTGCCTGCTCCAGCAGAAGTCCCGTTTGAATTAGCCAGCAGGTCCCTCTGAGTGGCTTTGCTAAAACTCCCGCCGTAGGAAGTATCCTACGGGAGCCAAGTTGCTAAACTGATGGGTGGGTTTCCCTTAACCCCCTCACCCCTGACTTTCCAGCTCCTGACGACACTGCCAACGTGTGCAGTGTCACCGTGTGCCAACTAGGTGCCAGCTGCCATGGTTTGTATATTGTAAAAGTAGTGATTTGGGACTCGTGAGCACTGAGAACAGGTTAGCAATTGCTTAAGAGCTTTACTTGTGTCGCTCTGGGGCAGGGAGATGGGTGAAACATCTTAGGCTTGAAAGTGATTCCCTGCAGAGTGACGTGCTCAGATCTGCACAACAGATCTGTCGTTCTGGTCACCTTATTAGATCCCTGCTTGAGAGGGTGCTTGCAAGAATCGATTCCTCTTCACCTTGATGTGTCAAGCTAAAGAGAAATCCGTGCCGAAGCACTGTCTGATCAGACGAGTGCCTCGGTTCAGGATTGTTCTTTGACAGCTGCAGAAACACCAGGACAGTCGGCGCCTTCAGGAACAGATTAATTTGATCTTGAGGCTGTCATAAAACAGGTCCCTGAAGTTTGAAGACTCTTCCAATAGTTTGGGCCAGCAAGGAGCAGCTGTAGCTGGCGGCTGCGGTAACTCGGGGCTCAGAGTCTCAGAGAGCGTGGTGAAAGGTGACCCCCAGCTGGCTGCTGGAGGAAGCTGAGGCAGCGTTCAGCTCTAACCTTTGCCTTCTTGGCTGGCATCTTTGCACTCCTGCTGTCAGTGGGTGTTGAGTGTCCTTCCCCCCAGCCTCAGAACGTGCCCTCAGATGTAGGCAGCGTTTAGCAGCTAGAATTCACTCCAATATAAAGAGTACAAATCATGCGTTTTCTGCTTT